TTCTATCTTCTTTTGGCCATTTTTTTTTCAAATACACATACCCAACATGTAACTGTTACAACTATGTTTTGTTTTATTTGCCTCATGATGTATCTCCCCACTAACCCGTCAGTTCTCCCCTCCGTCTGTCCGGTGTGCTGCTTGGGACTGATCTCAAAGTAAATTACAGATCAGTGATCACATATGCCTTGTCCCATGTCTCTTGCTCTTCTCCCTTTCTACTTCACGTTTCTTTTCAACTCTACATTGGTTTGAGACAGGGTCTCCTGTATCTGTCCCAGGCTGACCCCCAACTCCATGTGTAGCCGGCGTGACATTGAACGGGTGGTCTCCTGCCTCCTCCCCCCAACTTCTGGTTTCTGGCATCCACTGCCACATCCACTGTCAGCCATAGATTTTGTTGGGTTTTATTCGGATTTGGGGCCTAGAAAGATAACTCATTGTGCACTCTCAAAAACTAACACATAACAACAAAAATATTGTGTTTTAACTTTGTGGTTGCCCGTTTGCCCTGCTCGTACAATACGCACACTTGTGCCTTTTAGCGGTCAAGGATTCCTTGCGGCTGCCCACGTCCCATGAGCCCGGCAGCCCCAGCGTCTTCGGTCTTGAGCTTTCCCTTTTCTATGACTTCCTCTCTTATCTCTTCACGCACCACAGCTTTTCAGTTGCCTTCCCTTCTCCCTTTCGGCTCCGCAGCAGATAATTTCTAAACCAAACAACAGCTGAACAATACCCCACTGTTCTGCACGTCTGGGTATGCAGGGCACGTCCACGCCTGCCCAGAACCGAAGGAAAATATCATCTCTCGCAGTTTATTTCTTTGCATCAAAAGCGAATAAATCTGTGCATGAGCTTCATGCGGCTATGTCAAGGTCTATTTAATAGGGCGAGCGGGGCTGCATCCTCCGCCTAGAATCTTTACCGCTCCCGGGTGTGAAATGCGGACAAGCCTGGTGTGTAGGAAGAAGGAGACTGGCATCTTACAGTTGCCCCATTGTGTAGGCCATTAGACTGCAATTCATGCTTGGTTACATATTCGCATTGTTGTAACAAGTGTTTTCTTCTTTTAAGGTAGCTTTTGAAGGGGGCCTTCCCTTCCTTACACAGCCTTTAAAAAGCAAAAAAAAAAAAACAAAAACAAAAAGCACTTTGGACTGGGGTGGTGGTGGTGATGGTGGTGTAAAGTTGGGAAGGAGGGGGTTCTGGATCTGGGAGGGATGGACAGAGGGGAGGGGGGGGTGACCGCAATCAAAATATTCTCACTAAATTCCCAAAGAGCTAAAAAGAAATGAGAAAAAAAATATTGTGTGTCAAATAAACAAGCCCTCTCTAAGATCTCTATCCCCTTGGCTGGCAGTGTTTCAGTGTCTTTGTTAAAGCTGTTGGCTTCGAGGTAAAAGACAGCACATAATCTCCAGGATCCAGGCACCGAGCACTTTCTTCGCTAACAGCCACGATAAAGCCTCCTTTAAAACCCTAAGCAGCACTTTGCTTTTCAGTGACCATCAGTTTCACAGCAACGCGGTCAGCTTTCTGTAGGATTATAAAGCCAAATTGCTGCTTCTAAGAGAAGAAGAAAAAAGAAATCAGATGGAATTTTTCCTAAGAAAATATTGTGGTGAGCTGGAGTTTGAGCTGTCAATGGAGTGCTTACTTAGAGTAATAGAGGCCCTGGGTTTGGTCCCCAGCACCACACAGACAAGGCATGGTAATTTATGCCTGTAATCCCAGCACTTGGGAGGCAGAGAAAATTCAGGCACTGAAAATTCAAGGTCATTTAACCTCTGTTACACAGATACTTTGAAGCCAGCCTAAGGGATACTCTGTTTCAAAAAGAGAGATAGAAATTGTGGGAAATGAATGAAATGTATCTAGAATTATACTAATAAACCTTCGTTTGAAATGCCCACATCCTTGTACATGAATCTTTCTTGCTTTGTTGCCCTGGACCTATTCCTGCATTTCTTTATTCATTTACTCCGCCGTGGTGGATGAAGCCAGGGATGGAAGGAGAGAAGGTGTGGATTCTGCTCCCCAGAGCTTGTGGTCTGGAAGGAGCATGTGTGCCGTCTGTGGCTGGTTGCTTTCTGAGGTGCTGAGGTTCACAGGAAACTGCAGGACAGCCTTTCCTATGTGGAAAGGACTTTCTGGGTTAGTCTAGGATGCATGAGATTGGAGAACTGGAAAATAGTAGTTAAAGCAGTTGAAACTTTCTCTTTTGTAAACAATAATCAACCCAGCACAGATGGCTTGGAGACAAAAAAAAAAAAAAAAAAAAAAGACACTTCCAACAGGGTGTGTATCTCAGTGTGCCCAGCCAGGGTCAGACTGTGAGCTCTGAGAGTTCCATCCTTGGCACACCACCAATATCAGGGAGGGGTGGGGAGGGGGAAGGGAGGGGGAGGAAGAGGGAGAGAAGTGGGGGGAAGGCACGCTGACTCCTGGACCTGCCAGGTACAGCATGATCAGGCGTTGGCCACTGCAGTCTGCCCAGCAGTGTCCTGCTAATGGATCCCTGGTTGTCTTCTCTGGATAGGGCACTTTCGGATTAACTGATCCTATCTTTCCATCTGCATCAGTCCTATTTCCAAATAAGGTCATATTCTGAGGTACTGGGGTTAGGATACTAGCAGAGGAATCTTGGTGAAGGTGCAGTCCAACCCCTTCTCTCCTTTCTTCCTGCTGATCCCTCATTGGCTGGCCCCGATGGTTGGTAGGGGATGCTGGGTGACATGAGCTTGTCCCCTGCATCACAGGGCAGGGCAGGGTAGGGTAGATCTAGAGGGACAGAGAAAATTTCCAGAATACTTTGCATTCTTGGGAGGGCTACCAACAGGGCCGCCAGCACCTCTAGACTGACTTGGTTCTTAGTCTCTGTCAAAGGGATTCTCCTTTCCTGGGGGTAACATAGGCAAATGACCATTTACTCCAGATCAGGCACCAATGACCAGCCACATAAGTCATTCCACCTGGAGGTTGCAGCTCACACCCCTCATCCCTGGAGCTTCCTGCACTGCTGGCAGGCACCTCTGTGCCAGGAGTCTCCTTCCCAGCCCTCATTACTGCTTGTCTGCTGGGGGAGAGACCTTGTGAACCCATGGGCTCCTGAGGCTTCCTGAGTCCTACGCATGGACTGTGGGGGTCGGTGCTCCCCTTCTACCCTGTGAGCTCCCTGTATCAAACTCAGATCATTCGGCTTTGCTGCAAGCTCCCAGGCCCACTGAACCATCTCACTAGCCCTGGTCCCTGAGTCCTAAGCGTCATGTCTAGAGGATGGAGCATCTCAAGTCAGCGGAAAGTGCTGCAGAGCAAACCAGAAAGGGACCCTCTGTTTCGCAGGTCCCTTAACAGTTCTCTGGCAGGGGCTGATGTTTCTGTTTCAGCCACAAGAAGGGAGAATCAGGAGACAGGATGGCTGGTGCTGTCCCTTCTCAGCACAGCTTGACTCAATACCCTAGAATGTTTCCCGCTGTGACTTCCTAGGTAGACCTATATTTGGCTGCATGTAATGGTAAGAAGAGTGGCAATAAACTCAGTGACATTTTTGTTGCCTTATATGTCAGGAGGGGGTAGTGCAGGCCCAAGCTGGCACAGTGGCTTAAGGCCCAGGTCCTCCTAACTCCTGCTCCATCGTCTGTAGTGTGTGGAGTTGTGTTTGGTTTGTTTGTTTGAGGCAAGGTTACCTATGGCCCGAGCTGGCCTCAGACTGGCTAAGTAGCTGAGGGTGGCGTCCAACCCCTCATCTTCCTGCCCCACTTCCTAAGGCTGAGTCACCACGCCAGGCTGAGCGTGTGGGTTTTGGTCTCAGGACATAAAGGGACTGTTCATTTCCAGGCCCACAGCTGTATTCCAAACCGGAAGTAGAAGGAACAGCAGGCAGGAGAACCCAGGAAAGGAGTGTAATCATAGACATCCCTTGGTTATTTCCGTTTCTGTCTCTTAAAGCAGAACGGTGATCCATAGCTGTCCCTTTCTCCTCAGAAACCCAGGACATCGTTTTGGGCCTAATTGATAGCTGTGCAGAGGCAGTAAGGTTTCTGCTAAGAGATGAGTGCAGTGTGGGTTCCGAGTTCAGCCAGCAGGAGCTGTGGCCCCACGTACTCGGCTTCTACCTCTTGGTGCTTAAACTTTTCACGTTTATGTTTTCCCTCCACCTTTGAAAAGAGCACCCAGATCTGAAGTCCAGCTGTGGGCTTGAGTAGACAGAGGGAACCAACAAACGCAGTATGCCATGTGCCCTGTGTTTCAGTCAGTAGCCATTTGCCCCGTGCTTCAGCCGATGGCCCAGTAGCTAACCACGCAAGATGAGGTCACACCACCTAGTGCTCTTGGCACTGTCCTAGTCTATAATGCTTGCACAGTGACAGAAATCATTAAGGTTGTCTCTCTCAAAATGTATCCTGCTTGTCCTCTCTGGGAGTCACACACGGCAAAGCAAGCTGTGGTTTAGATAAGAAACTTCTTTCCACCGGTTCCTATAACATCAGCCTCTTCAGGGCTGCAAAGGTGGTTCAGAGGTTAAGGGCACTTGTTGCTCTTGCACAGACCAGGGTTCAGTGCCCAGTGCCAACATGTCTCACAACCATTTCATAACTCCAGTTCCAGGGATCTGATATCTTCCGACCTCCGATGGCACCAGGAACATGGTGCACATACATACATGCAGGCAACATACTCATACATATAATTATAACAAATAAATCTATCCTTTTTTCAAAGTCAGACTCCTGAGGTACAGAACATGTAATAAGCACCCACTAGGTGCGCTCACTGTCTTTTATTAGTCTCTACTGTCAGAAAATGCTTTATTCAAGGTTGACTGGAGAAATAGCCTCAGGTTGCTTTATACTGTCTGCACACTCTTTGCTGACACACTTTTACACCTCATAATAGACCATACATATTAAAATGGGTCTAACCAACTTACTGCTCTCTTTGTGCTATACAGACATGTGGGTAAAGTAAGAATATAACTTAATTTTATCTTCTCCCTTTAGAGGAAGAGAACCAAATTCATTGCCTGCGATTTCCTGACTGAGTGGCTATACAAGTAAGTCGTTCCTGTCATTAACATTCAATGGCCCTGAGCATTTGATTGTGTTGATTTTCAATAGAAGAACAACAACTGACTTAATTCTTGTCCTTTTTCTCGTCAATCAAACATGGCTGTGTGACCAGTCAGAATCCGAAGAGGGCAGGGGAGCCATTCACAGAATTCTTCTCCATTCCCTTCGTGGAGGAATGGCTCAAGGGCCAGTAAGTGTGAATAGTTGACTTCCAATAGTTTTTCTCTTACGTGTATGTGAGTTTGGTGTGCATGGATGTGTGTATGAGTGTTTGTTAGTGTGTGGGCCCACATGTAAAGGCTGAGGCTGCCGTTGGAAGTCCTCTCTGATCACCGTTCGCCTTGTTCATTGAAGCTTGCTGATGTAGTCGGTCTGGGCGGCCAGCTTGCTCTGGGATCCTCTGTGTTTGCCTTCTGAGGACTGGAAGTGCAGGCAGCTGGCACTTTCTTCCAGTATTTGTGTAGGTTCTGGGGAGCCCAACTCTGGTCCTCATGCTTACATAGCTCTAGCCACCGAGCCATCTTGCCCACTCAATCCTAATCTCAAGGTTATGCTCGCGATAGCTTTTTAGTATAAGGGAATGTGCACTTCCCCCCAGGTCTCACACTCAAGCCCAGCCTAATCTACACGGTGAGTTCAATGCTGTCCAGAGCTATACAGTGAGATGGGGGTGAGTGCCGAGAGATGGCTCAGTGGATAAGAGTACCTGTTCTTGCAGAGGACCCAGGTTTTATTCTAAGTACCCCCATGGCAGTACACAAACATCTGTAACTCTGGTTCCAGAGGATCTAGTGCTGACCTCTTCAGGTACTAGGCTCCCAGGTGGTACACAGACGTACCTGTACCAAAACACCCATACATATACAATGAACCTAAAAGACAACATACAAGACCTTCTATCTATGAGATTCTCCATGGGAATCTTGTAGACCCCTAGTCTCTTACTGCCTGGGATTCTTCAAGGGGCCTCAAGGTCCCCTCGTAGCTCACAGAGACACACCGAGATGTAGCAGCCATCTTTGCAGCCAGAGACACAGTGCTCTGGCTTCTGCTGGCTTTTGTGTCCTGTGCTTCCATTATCTTTCCAGGAGATGCCGAGCATGACAAAAGTGAAATCGAATCCACAGGATGTAATAAAACCTGAGCCACACCTCCCCGTCATAACACAGTTTGGTGCTGAGGACACCGGAAATGGACAGTCAGGACTGAAGCCCCAGAAGAGAGAGGCATGTTGCTAAGCAGCTGAGTTTGTGTGGTGTTGAAATAGGAGCGGCAGGGCTGAGTCCCTGGCACCCGGCCGCCCGCATGGCTAGCTTATGCCCGAAATAATTACACGGAAACTGTATTCTTTCAAACACTGCCTGGCCCGGCTAGTTCCAGCTTCTTATTGGCTATCTCTTACATATTGTTCTAACCCATTTCTAATATTCTGTGTAGCCCACGAGCTGGCTTACCAGGGAGGATCTTAACCTGCGTCTGTCTGGAGCCGGAGAACCATGGTGACTCCTCCACTAAGCTTCTTTTTCCCAGAATTCTCTTCTGTCTACTCCGCCTACCTAATTTTCTGTCCTATGAGGGCCGAGGCAGTTTCTTTATTAATAAGAAATCACTCCCACATCAGTGTGGTGTTTTAATTCGGGTGTTAACGAAACAGTAAGGAAAGTGGTGAGGCAGGAGACCCTTCCCAGGCCTGGAGCCAGCCCCACTGGGTTGAGTCCTGACTTGCATTGGAGGATTTAGGGAACGTATTCTTCCAGGGTACCCTGGAGCTGGAAGAGCCAGTGAAGCAAGCAGGAACCAGAGTCCTTCAGGCATATGAGGACAGGAGCTGGGAAACAAGCTGCAGTCCAGGCTTATGAAGTTGGGCTGTGTGAAGAGCTGTGCTGCGCACTGTGATGTTGGCAGCATCGGTGCCCTTTCCCTACTAGATGCCAGTTTTAATATTGCAGCAATCTGCGGACAGATGCATGTCTCAAGGCTGGCGGTGAGGCAGTTTACCCCAGTTGGGAACATCTGCTCTAATCCTACGGCTTTCCTACCCTGGCTGCATTTAGACGCCATCTGCAAGCCAGGGCTACAGAAATGGCTCAGTCGTGAGAGGCTCGGCTCACAACCAAAGTATAACATCAAATGCCAGTCAGGAGTGGCAGTGATGCCTTTAACCCCAGCACTCGGGAGGCAGAGGCAGGCTGATCTCTGTGGGTTTGAGGCCAGCCTGGTCTACAGAGCGAGCTCCAGGTAGTCTAGGACTATATAGTGAGACCTTGTCCCTAAACCTAACAATAAGAATAAAAATTGTTAAATTGTCTATAGAACTTTGTTTCCCTCGAGACCTGTTAAATCCAAACTTTCAGGATGACCTGAGCATCACATTATTTTGTTTTTGTTTCTAAAAGCTTCCTGTGTACACTTGATTTGTTACGGTTTCTATTTTTTGAGACAGAATCTTACCATGTAGCTTAGGTTGGCCTTAAACTTTCAATCCTCCTGTCTCAGCTTCCTGAATGCTGGAATGAGAGGTGTGTATCAAACTAGCTTCCTGAGTAACCTTAGAGTACAACCAGGCTTGAATTCTCTGTCGGGGAGAAGTCACCCTGCATCAGAGGTCACCCTGCATCTGGGTGCTAGTATCTGGTCTAATTGAGCAGTTGCTCTGCTAAATGCTTTGTTGACTGTGATCCCTTTTAACCTCCCTGCAGCTCTTGGACAGAGATGCTGAAAGTGGGAATTGGGCAATAAAGGAAGTAATCTTGGGGAAATACAGTCATCACTGCGCTGCTTCCCCACTCATGCAGCCTGTTGCAGGCCGACCACACTCTTATAAACGATAGCGAGGTTAGAACACACAGGAAGTAAAGAATGGAGGAGATGCTTTACCCCGTTCTTAACCTTCTCTGCCTAAGAGGTTCTTAATCCTTTTCACCCCCTCCTCAGAATCCAGCCCCAGGAAGACTGGTGGGTTCATGGGTGCTAGACTGGGCTGTACATGAGTTTTGGGGGCAGTAGAGACAGGACTTGAACCCGGGCAGTCTGCCTCCAGTCAGCCCCGTCAAAAGCTCAGTTCACCACTACTGCCTTCCATGTCAACCGGAACGTGACAGGATCAGAACTGAGACTGGGAGAAAATTGACCTCATAAAGGATGTAATACATGCACGTGGTAATTTAGGGGATCTGAAGTGGGCATTTTGACTTAATGAGAGCTTCCTTTCCTGGCCTGTCTTTAGCAAACAACCCCTGTGTGAGATGTCAGGCTAAATATATCTGCTACCACTTAACTGCCTCTAGTAAGCCTGTCTACCCGTCTGTGAGCCGTCTTCTGTTGGAACCTGGCTCTTATCTTAATGTCAAAGTCCAGCTGCCTACAGCACAGTGCTATTGTCATGTGAGATCAGAGCTGGATTGGAGGTTTTTGTCACAGTGGCTATTAGTGATTATCCTGTAAAAGATACTTTTCCTACGCGATCCATCCATTCCCCCCTCCCTGCCCTCAATTTAGCAGACTCTGTATTCTGTCTAGTCTTCTATAGCTACTCTTCCCAAGCCTATTTTTGTTTGAATATTTTTTGTATAGCCTAAGACATTGACAATCTTTAAAAATACTCTTCAGCTCATAAAACCGTAACTAGAATTCATCATGTACAAAATATGCATCTTTATGAAATAAATTATACAGTGGAAAAAAAACACTTCAAGTCAAGAATTGTCATGGAATTAAATCACTCTAGACCTAAAGAGTCTTTCAGAACGATGTTTCATCCCAACATGGATGACTTTAATTTTTCTCCTAGCAAAGGATTACTTTAAGAATGCAGAACGGGCCTGAGGCTGAGGCTCAGGTAGGAGAGGGGTAGAGCGCTTGCCTAGCACCTCGAAGCCACGGGTTCAGTCGCCAGCACTTCATAACCGGGTGTGGGGGTGCATGCCTGCCATCTCAGCCCTCCAGAGGTGGAGGCAGAGGGGCAGACATTCAGTCCTTGCTTACTCCTTAATTAGATAGCTGTATAGCAGGTTTGAAACATTGTCTCGAAAGAAGGTTGCAAAAAGAAAGGGGGGGGGAAATAATAAAAAAAAGAAAAAAAAATAAATAAAAGAAAATAAATCCTTATAAAAGAAAAAAAAAAAGAAAGGGGGGGATATTCATTGCTTTCCTTTTTACTCTACCTTCCCTCTTCTGGTAGGTATTTATGGCTTTTCCATAGTTATAATAAAACATAAGTTAAATTAAAACATAAGACTTTTCTGCGTTGATTCTCCTGCTTCTGGATGCTTAACTTCCTGTGTTTCTCAGTTCAGGTACTCTAGTGAGCTAGAGCACTTAGCTGAGGATGGGACAGGGCTGTCCAAACAGCAGGAATCCCCGATGATTACCATCTAAGCCTGTTCAGTCTGAGGCACCAGGAAGGAATTTCTCTTCCACTAGACTTAGATCTTTGCTTTTGTTTTTTCAGCTGTAGGGATCAAACCCAGGGCCTTGGGCCTGTTAGACAAGTGCTCTCTACCTATGGGCTGCAGCCCCGGGTCTAGATTTGAATCTCTAAGTGACAATTCTGGAGCTGGTGAAAGCAATCAACAAAACTGTGCCTGATAAGAAGCAGGCTTGAGAGATGATAAGAGTCTGAGTTCTTATTTATTTATTTATTTATTTATTTATTTATTTATTTAATCTGGCCACACCTAGTGCCAACTTTGTTCCTTTGGAGTTAAGTGAGCAGCTAAACACCTCCTTTCCTACCTTTTCTTCCTTCAGCCAGTTTGAGTTTAATTTCTGGCACTTGCAGATGAGAGCACCCTGATAATACGTTCTCTTTTGTGAGGCTGCCACATCCCCTCCAGTGCTCTGGAGTGGACAGCTTTCTCTAGGTTCTGCTGCAGTAACAAAGAGCCCCACGTCTCAGTGCTCTACACTACAGGTCTGCGGCTCACTCTTTTCATGCTGTGTGCTTGTCATCCTGGGCTCTGTTCTATGTCTCATTTCGGTCTAGGACTTAGGATGAAGGAGCAGTCCCCTTCCTGGCCTCATAGAGGAGGAAGAACGATGGCTAAGCCATGCAATTGGCAAACACTGCTGCTGTTTGCATCCCATTTGCTCATGCAAGTTATGTGGCCAAATTTGACATCAGTGTCAGAAGGGAGTGCACCTTGCTGGACAGTTGTGGCGCATGCCTTTAATCCCAGCACTTGGGAGGCG